CCTTCCGAGACGCGAGAATTACACCTTGACCCTCAAGTCCAACAAGAGTATGAAGACATCCGACATCTGATCGCTGAAGAATTTGCAATCATAGAACCTTCAGGTACAACAATAGCGGTGCCTCTACATCATGATCTCGCTAATTATCTTCCAGGCATCGATCTCTCTATTGATGGCGAGACTTTAACGGATGTGAACGATGTCCTTCATGCGAAATCGCCCATTGCCATCTCTATCGATGGCAAGCGGATCAGAGATGTCCCAGGACCCAAAGGATATCCATACCTAGGCAACTACTACGAAGTCTACCCTGACCATCTGGGAAACCATCAACGGTAGGTGCATTGTTATTATGATTCCAAAATATCAAGCATGCTGACCATGCAATGTTCCGGCAACTAGTCTTTTTGAACAGTATGGCTCAATTTTCAAGACCACCAACATGGGGAGCACGGTCTACGAAACCAACAGCCCTCAAATCGCGCAGCTGGTGTTTTCGGAATCCCAATATTTCAGCAAAGAGATCACGCCATCCCATCCCCTTTACGGTATTAAAGACCAGACGGCGGGCGTGTTCCTGGCAGACACCAACACCGAGGCCTGGAGGCTGGCTCATAAATTTCTTCCCCCTGCCTTTTCACCAAAGGCTGTCCGGCACTACGCTCCTCAGATGCAAAAGACGGTCGAATCTGCCTTTAAAGTCTTTGACGAGCTCGACGAGCTCGGAGAGGCGTGGAACGTTTACCCCTACATGCTCAAGCTTGGTTCGCAAGCGGTCGGCAAGTTGACCCTGGGCGTGGACTTCAACCACTTCCACTCGGTGGATGCGCCGCTCAGCCGCATGGTTCTGCTGATCGCTCAGCTGCTCGAGTTGAACAAACGAGTCACCTCCAAGGGAAGTTGGTACTCGTCTCTTCCCTTCGGAGAACCCAAGGAGTTGCGCAACTGCAGGAAGAATATCGATGACCTGGTGGAGGATGCTCTTCACAAGATGGCCCCGAATGGGGTCGAGGATCTCGATCTTCAGGACGCCGCCCTGAAGGCATCGTGTATTGCCGGTGCGACCTACGTTCCTCCAAGTCCCCATTCTGAAGGTCCGCGCGAGAAATTAACGTGTTGCATACAACAGACTACGCCATGCGCGCCATCGATCGACAAGGCGAGAAACTTCCCCGGGAATATCTCAAGTCCTCCCTGGTGGTCGCCACTGCAGCTGGATTCACCACCACGTCTAGTCTACTGTCCTGGCTGATCTTTGGCCTGGTCAGCTATAAAGGAGTGCAGGAACGGCTCCTGCAAGAGCTAATAGATAACGACATTGACGAAAACACGGTTTTTGACGCCGACACCATCGGCAAGCTGCCGTATCTTGAAAACTATGTCAAGGAGATGCAGCGTCGCCACAACCCCAGCTTCCAGCCGTGAGTACTGCTGTCCGCCCACACCAGGGAGAAAGAAGAAGAAACATGGCGGTTCCAATGGATTGCTGACACACCAAGTTATGGGCTTCAGTGGACGAACAGCACAACAGGACGTTATTCTCCCTGGCGGGTTCAAGATTCCTCGCGGCGGCGTGGTCATCCCGGCATTGCACCACATCCACAACAATCCCGAACTCTGGGACAACCCGACCAAGTTCGATCCAGACAGGTATGTCAGGCCCCTAAACATCAAGAAACCAAAAAAACCCAAAACCCAAAACCCCCAATTTTGGCTGAGCTACCATCAAGAAACTGACCCTTGTTGATTTCCCTGGCTTTGTCTCAGATGGAACACGGACTCGGTCAAGAACAGACACAAGGCAGCGTACATCCCGTTCGCGATGGGCCCGCGAGGCTGCATCGGCTTCAACTTCGCCCTGCTCGAGGTCAAGGTCTTCTTGCCTAAGCTGGTCTACCGCTACAAGTTCGTCCGCGAAGGCGACGACCCCATCCAATACGACCCGATGTTCCAGCTGATCCGGCCTCTCAACCTCTACGTCCGCGCCGAGAGGAGGCGCAAGTGGCCCGCGAAAAGCGAAGCGTGTGCATGATTGAGCCCACACACGGCACACACCACTCAGGATGCTAAGGTAAGGTAAGACTACCATTTTTTATTCTCGTTTTGAACACGAGCTGAGAGTGTCGAGGAATAGCTGAGAATTGGGAAGCGGTGGCGGGCTCTCGAGAAAGGCTAATAGGCAGGTAGGCAGGCAGACAGACAGTCCATCTTCCTGTCTGAAAGGAACATGTAGATAGTCAATCCCTTAGGTAGGCAGGCACGGACGGCCCAAGGGGTCCTAGACCTGGATCTGGATCTGATACTCCGTCTCGATTCCGACGCTGCCGTCCTACGGTCTCGGAGTTTCAGGATTTCAAAGGGGAAGTTTTGTACGGAGGTTGACATCTGCGACCGTGCGCATAGTCAACTACAACGGGGACCATTGAAATCTGCGCAGGGAGACATAGTGTTTCGAGGCATCATCATGATCTTTCTTGAGCTTGATCTCGATCTACCCTTTCTCACTTCCACCCTAACTCCGTCGCCGTATCCACTAGTCCATTCTCACATGACGGATCAAGCAAACCCATTCTTGCATGAAACGGATCAAATACGCCCAGAATCTGACCACTGGGTAGTAGCTAGGCGGCTATACCCTACTTGAACGTGGCATGCAGGTGAGTATGTCACCCGATTTGGAATCACATCAATGCATGTCTATAAATTAGCGCTCTTGCGAAGGTGCAAAACGGTATGCTGACACTTCTCTGCGCGGTGAAGTCTGGGTCGCTGGTGGCCTCAGGTAGATCCCACGGGCCATGCTGCTGAAGGGGCCCCATGTCCCCAAATACCGCCCTTGCCATCATCATCATGTCTACCGATGCGATTTGATCTATCTTCTTCGCATGGCTTGCTATTCACCACTCGCCGCTCCACCACACACGTCCGATCATCTCGGCTCGTCAAAGATTCAAGTCCACTGCATCCCCCTTCTTTAACTGACCGAAACACTTCTTCCACAAGTCATTCTCCTCACCTAGGAAATAATGCAAATCCACCTCGTGCATGCCCGCGTCCTCGTCACCTTGCATGCCTTCCAACTGTGCAATCACATTTCCCAGTCCGAATGCCTTGCCGACGCTCTGCGTCGTGCCCGCCTCTAACATGACATGCACCACGTGGACATGCAGGTGGTAGTACGTGGGTTGGTAGTGGAGGTAGCATTTGACCTCGTCGGCCTCGACCTCGCCGGGAGGGAAGACTTTTGCGGTGGCGGCGGCGACGATTTGTTCGCGCATGGTCTTAAGCCAGGGGATGTGCTTCTTCTTTAAATCCCTCAGGGACCAAATATCCCTCCTCTGCACGAGCGCAAGCAAATGCATTCCCTCGACGGTTTTCCTGTCCCAGTTCAAATCCGGTAAGAGTAGAAAGCCCGTGTTGGAAGGAGAATCCCAATCGACTCGCGCAATCACATCTTCTTGCTCCGTGCGGCCTTCGAGGATATTGAAGACCCAGTCGAGCCGGCCGGCTGCGCGTTGACCAGTTATGTATGGTTTTATATACGTCGAGTAGATGTGTGGTGTTTCCGTGACCATACGCACGCGCTGGGCGGAGTACTTTCGGATATGCTGAGCTGAGCATGGGTAGATCAGGTTGACTTTAAAGTCTGGGATGATGGACAGTGAAGATGTCGAAGATGACACGGATAAAACGCGGGTAGCAGATGAAGACGATTCAGTAGATCGGTTCGCCAGGTACCATCTGTAGATGTCGTTGGCGCCAAGATTGGTGGTATTGATGAGAGATTTCAGAAGCAGCGACACGAGCTCCGGCTCCGTTGGGAATGCGGCCCGTTCAAGCGTGACAAGTGCGGGTATATCAGCGATGGTGCCCAGCAGGGAGATCCGTCGCCCATTTTGGTCTACGTCAAGATTCGGTCAGAATGAGTGTGACCAAACGGAAAGGTAGTTGATCTATTTAAAAGTAACGAGTGACAACGCTGTTGGTCAGATGCTATACTAGCGAAGCTGGTCACATCTCACCTTGATTGAGGACCCTCTCGAGTTTGAATCGAGGGACGAGTGATTCGGCCTCGGCCTTTGTTTCCGGCTGCGGAGTAGACATGATGCATCACCTGAAAAATTCGGAGCGTGGGGCTCCAAAGAGCTGCGTTTCATATACAGAGTCTCTTGAATGATGCACGCGGCTGAAAGCGGCCGGGAAACAGTGCCGGCTTTTGTGTCTTCAGCGGGCACAATGACTGCCAGTTTCAATTCTGAAACGGCAGAAATATGTGCTCTCAACGTAGATCAAGGATTCAAAGAGTTGGAGCCGAGCACCATATTGTTCTAAACGTCTGATTCTTGGAGTTTGCGGACGCGAGAAGAAGAAAAAGTTAGAGTTGGTGTGGTGCCAAGGAATGACGGGCGACCCCTGAACGAATCTCGTCGACGCAGCCTGATGACGTCGGCGAAGGGCGGACGAGGCTGGGCGAGGCTGGGCGAGGCTGACTTTCTACTTGGCAAGGGTTGAATGCGTAAACAGGAAACGATGAAAGTATTCCGTACTCCGCACAATTGACTGCGAGGCTAGTCAGACAACCCAAATTGGACGAGACAGATGCGAACAATGGAAATTTATTTCCACGACTATGGCAATTGAGACCCAAACAGTCTCTCGGCGTTTCTTCGAGCAAACACCGCTCTATTGGCACTTGAGGAGCATAGCTCTGCCAGTATGTCTCGACAAACTCCCCATCCTTGATCGGGATCAAAATATCTTCAACCATAATCACGATCAGTTGAGCACTTCGGTAGATCAGGTTCATGGCCTGAATAAGAATCCTCTTCTCATTCTCCTCCAGATCCGCCTGGTCCATGCACCGGAAACCGCAACAGATGCAGACAACAGCAATTTTTCAATTCATGACCCTCTGCTCCGGCGAATTTCCAGGCTTTACTTCGGTCATCTCAAAGGTCTATTTTGCCGTTCTATAGAAGATTTCCCCAGCTTTTCCAACGTCACAAATGAACAGGGAATCTCCTTCTAATTTTACCACCATGCCTAGATTTCGGATTAGAGAGCAACATTGGCGAGAGTCCACAATGATACGGTACCTGTAGAACGCCATCGGAATGGGAACCATGATCAAGGCCAAAAACGACAATAAGGTATTCCCCCAACCCAGGCCCAGGCTCTGATAGAGCGGAGGCGCCGCCAGCGGTAGAAATGCCGCGAACAGCGAACGCATAACTGTTGGGGCGGCAACAGCGGAGGCAGCATGAAGGGGAAAGGCATCGACCATATATGTCTGAAACGGAAGGAAGATGCCTAACATACCAATACCATAAGGCACGGTGCCAGTAATAGCCGAGAGCCTGCAGAGAGGAGTAAATCACCTTGAACCAGCGTGACAAAGACACTTGAGTACTCTGGCAAGCACTTACCAGTGAGAATGTTTGTCTGTTACCCAGCCATACCATATCAGAGACATCGGGAGCATGATTCCACAGTATGGTGTCGTCGCCAATCTCATTTCGGCTGAAAGCGGTCAGTATGACATTGGACGGTGTAGAGGGACGGTGTTCTCTACGCTCGAATAATCCATTGTTCGTCGTCATGAGCTTCACGACCTGTGCGTCATTGAATCTGATCAAAGCAAACAAAGCGATCTAAGGAGGTTTGGCTGTTAGAAATACTTCACACAAGGGGCAAGGCGGGTACGGCGCACAAATGTCCCAAGTCCCACTGCGAAAATGGTCAGCCTGAGACAATGACGGCGGTTATGATAAGAAAGGTGCAAGCTCACGTCCAAGATATGAGAGGCCGGTGAGCTGGAGGGACCAGCCATACGCTTCTTGAAAAACCGTCGGAAGGGTAGTGAACATGAGGTCTGCGGCACGGTCAGTTCGGGAGCCAGAACTTTGTCACGAGTGCAGGAGATCGGAACACCCACACAGCAAGCCATAGGCCGTCGCAACATAGATGCTTATAAACAAGACGATTGGGGATTTGGCCAGGAGCTAAGATCAAAATCAGCCAGCATCTGGATCATGGGATTGGCTGGACTCAACTTCAGTGGCCTTATCAGGCTGACTTTCAACAGCTCATGAGCCGGCATCCGGTTTTGAACTGCTGACACTAGCTCGGATCTCCCGAGCGTCTTTCTCAACTTTCTGACCTTCCGCTCCAGAAGGACAACAGCGTTGGATTCTTGCATGAAGAACGTGATTATGGCAGTGGAAGATCCAGCACACAGCACGAGGATCCAGTACGCCTGCATCGATGTCAACAAACGCCCTCCCCAGTTTCAATACGGAGCAAGATGCCGAACCCATCGCCAACTAAGATATTCCGTGATGAACCCTCCACAAATTGGTCCGACTGCCATTTGCATCAGTGTTTCCGCGCAAAAAAAAAAAAAAAAAAAAAAAAAAAAAAAAAA